TAGCTATTAGCTTTTAGGCTTTTGTCAAAATTGCCCGTAAAAAGGTAAGTTGATTAATGCAATTGATAGAGACAAAGTAAGCGAACCTGCATTATCTAATAAAAAAGCGGCTATTGAAATTTCCTTCAATAGCCGCTTTCATTTTCAACGCCCTTCAGCCTAACAGCTAATAGCCAAGGCTAAAAGCCTTCCTTTAAAACCCCTTCTTTTCCTGTATTTTATCGTTGATGTATTTAATTTGCTCCTGCAACTCAGGACTGCTGGTAGCACCTGCTTTCTTCTTATTGGCTATGCCCTTCAGCACCATATTATTGATATAGGGCGTAATCTGTGCTTTGTACTGCGCAGGCACCGCCTCACGCAAATCAACAATCATGTCAACCCCTTTTTTCACTTTCTCTGTATTACTAAGCGTGCCCAGGTACTCTGCAAACGACTGCAACGCTTCAAACTTGGCATCAGATACCGGCAGGCTGCTAAAGTTGCCTGCAATTACGTCGAAGCTCTCTTCGCCGCTGCCAGACTCTATCAAAATTTGGCTTACCACCGCCCCCAACTTGCCCTTCATAGGCAGCTTCGCGAAGGCTTTTGCATCGGCAACGGCCATTTCCGGTGCTAATGGCACCAGTGCTCCCAGCGCCTCACCTGCAATACTATAAGACGAATCATGCACGGCTTTGAGGAAAATAGGCTTGTATTCTTCTTTTGCATACTGGCCCAGCAGGCCAATAGCTGCTGCCCTTACGGTTGGTTTCACATCGTTTTTAGCAATATCTGCCAGTAAAGGCTCTATAGCTGTCTTCACGGCTTCTTTCTTGATATCCAGTTCACCAATTGTATAGCTGCGCAACGCGGCATAGCGATCTTTCATAGCTGTTTTCAGCAATGCCAGGGCTGCTGGATCCTCCTGGTTTTTCGCACAATAGTCCACCGCCTCTTTTCTGTCCACAAAACCTCCTGCTACATTGTATTGATGAATAAAGTTCTGCAGGTTCTTATCATCTTTTTTCTCCCACAGCATCACTTTATCTGCGTCTACATTTATCAGGTCGGGTCTTTTTTTATAAGCAATGGTGAAACTGTCTGTTTTGTGTTCTACCCATACATTGCGCCGTAGTTTCTCTTTTCCATTGTACACATCTATAGCAATGGGCAGGCGGAACACCTGCTCTCCCTCCTGGGTTTGCTTTACAATCACCGTGGCCTTGCCTTCTGCATCATCATATAGGTAGCTGATCTCCACCTTTGGATGGCCGTTGCCGAAATACCACTGGTTAAAAAACCAGTTCAGATCGAGCCCGCTTACTTCTTCGAAAGCCAGGCGCAGCTGATGGGCTTCGCCTGTTTTAAATTTATTGCTGGTAAGATAAAGATTCATGCCTTTGAAAAAAGCGCTGTCGCCCAGGTAGGTGCGCAGCATGTGCAGGATGCGTCCGCCTTTGTTATAACTCACTGCATCAAACATATCTTCTTTATCAGCATAGTTAAAACGTACCAGGTCTTTGCTTTCGCTGTGGCTGCCCAGGTATCCCTGCATGTCTTCCAGGTTTTTATCATCGCCCGCATCTTTGCCATATTTGTACTGGCTCCACAACACCTCGCTGTAATTGGCAAAAGATTCATTTACGGTAAGATTACTCCAGCTTTCTGTAGTTACCAGGTCGCCAAACCACTGGTGAAACAGTTCATGCGCTACGTATTCTTCAAATTTATTGCCGTCTACCAGTTCACGTGCATCCTGCTGCAATGCATCTGTATGCAGGGTAGCCGTGGTATTTTCCATGGCACCACTTACATAATCGCGGCCTGTTATCTGGGCGTATTTTGCCCAGGGATATTCTACGCCGGTAATACGCGCGTAAAAGCCCATCATTTCTGGTGTAAGACCAAAGATTTTACGGGCTACAGCAGCATAAGGTTTCTCAACATAGTAGCTTACTTCTTTGCCTTTGTAACTGTCTTTGATAACGGCATAGTCACCTACGCCCATAAAAAATAAATAAGGAGCGTGGGGAAGGTCCATTTTCCAGTAATCTGTTCTTGTGCCGTCTGCATTTTTTTTCTGGCTGGTCAGCAGTCCGTTGCTCAGCGTTACATACTTCTCCGGTACCGTCATATAGATTTCATCTGTACAGCGCTGGTTGGGCCTGTCAATAGTAGGAAACCATACAGAACTGCCTTCTGTTTCACCCTGGGTCCATACCTGTGTAGGTTTGTCTTTATCGGTTCCTTTGGGATTGATAAAGTAAAGCCCTTTTGCATCTTTAATGGCCTCGCTGCCTTTTGTTTTGAGCTCGTTGGGCTTTGCAGTATAATCGATGTAAACTGTATATTTCTCTGCCGCGCTGTATTTTTTATCCAGCCTAATATTGAGCACCAGGCCGTCGTACGTATATTTCAGGGGAGACAGTACCGTACCATTGGCCAAAGCTACTTTCTTAATATCCATTCCTTTGGCATCCAGCGACACGGAATCAACAGTATAAAAATGTGGCTTCAGCGTGATCCAGGCTTTGCCATAGAGATACGATTTATCATAATCCAGTTTTACGTCCAGTTTTGTGTGCACCAGGTCATTGATGCGGGGACTGGAAGCACGGTATGCCTCGGTTTTGTCAACAGGTAAGGGGCCGGTCAACTGGCCATGGGAAGCAAGCGCAAGCGCCATCAAGCTACAAATCAAGAGTGGTTTTATCATGTTTTATATTTAAAAGCCGTAAAGATAGGCGGCGGTTCCGGCACAGTTTGTAAAAAAAATGGTAAATGCCCACGCTAATGCCTGTTTTCTATTAGATTTGTTGGCAAATCACCACTTATTACTGCATGAAGCACCTGGTTGCATCTTTTATCCTGCTTTTTTGTACCCTGCAAACGTTCAGCCAGCAGGATTATTTTATTTACCTGCAAACGGATAATAACCAGGCTTTCTACTTACGTATCAATAATACCGTTTACAGCTCCACGGCCAGCGGCTACCTTATTCTGGCAAAACTACCCGACAGCACTGCCAATGTAACAATCGGATTTGCCAAAGCGGTTTTCCCGGAGCAACAGTTTAACATTCCTGTAAACCGTAAAGATGCCGGCTACCTGCTGAAGAATTTTGGGGAGAAGGGCTGGGGCCTTTTTAACCTGCAAACCATGGCAGTAACCATGAACAGTAATGCAGCGCAGGAAAAAAAAAGCCCTGAAATAAACGGCAGCAGGAAAAATGATGCCTTTTCACTGTTACTGGCCAATGCAGTAAACGATACCGCTGTGCTGTACGCAGTTAACAAACCTGTAAAAGTGCTGCCGCCGGAACCAGTGGCCGTAACAGAAAAGAAAAAAGATACAGTTGACACGGTTTCTGTATCGCCCGCCCGCCGCGATACTGTAGCATTGGTGACCAAAAAACTTGTAAGTAATGATAGTAGTGTAGCTGCAAAGAACATTGTAAAGCCCCATGTCGACAGTATTGCAACCTCCCGTGTAAAGCCGGTTGCGGGTAAAACACCCATCAACAATAAAAAAGCTGTAGCAGATTCCATTGCACTGGCCAAAAAAGCTGCTAAACAAGCAGGCAAACCGGCGGTAACGAAGGCTGTAAAAGATACAATTGCAGCAGGCAATAACAATAAGCCAGTTTCTCCGGCTACCGCTATCGTAACCAATAATAAACCGGTTCGCAGGGATACCATCATTATGATGAGTGAACACCCCGCGGTGGACCCGAAACTGGCAGAAAAAGAAGCTAAAATTGCGGCGGCCAGGAAAAAAAACAGCCTTCAACTGGCTAAAAAGCAGGCGGACAAAAATAATTCCACTGCAAAAAAACAGCTTGTTACGCGGATTGCCGCCGACAGTGTAAAAAAAGATACGCTTATCAGCAGGGCCAGTCCGAAAAAGGATACAGCAGTGGCATTGGCTAAAACTGAACTGCCTGCTGTTGCGGAAGATAAAAAAGAAGCTGCGGTAATTGAAGTGCCCCAAAAAAGATCAAAACCCCTTATATACAAAGCAGCCGATCTGCTCACCGACACTTCCTATGTGGCGGTTTTTGTAGATGAATCGAAAGAAAAATTTGATACCATCCGCATCAGCATTGCCTTTAATGAGAAAGTGGCGGAAGAGAAAAAGGAGATATCTGTAGCAAAAGCAATATCGCCCCCTGAAAAACTGGTGGCTGCAAAGAAGGTAATTGATAGTCTTAATAACCCGCCGGCCAAAGCAGGTGATACAACTGCACCGGAAACCGCAGAAAAGGAAAAACTGGCCAATACAAAAACTCCTCCCACAGTTGTAACTCCTGTAAAACCAGACAGCAGCCCGGTTAATCAGCTGGCCAAAGACAGTCTTACCAAAATTACAGCGCCTGTAATTGCGAAAAAAGACCCTCCTGCCACAACAGGGGCAGCAGACTCAGCAAAACCTGTAAAAAGCACTGCTCCTCCCCTTTTCCTGAACTCTGATTGTAAAGAAACCGCCCTGGATGCAGATATCGACAAACTGCGGATTAAAATGCTGCTGGTAGCCAGTGACGAAGAAAAGATAGCACTGGCCAAAAAAGTATTCAGGCAGAAATGTTTTCTTACAACACAGGTAAAAGCACTCAGCGAGCTGTTTAAAGCAGATGAAGGAAAATACAAATGGTTTGATGCAGTGTATGCTTTTGTTTCAGACAGCGGCAATTTCAGCAAACTGAGTGAACTGCTTAAAGATGAGTATTACCTCAACCGTTTTAAAGCGATGCTGCGCAACTAATACCGCATTATTCTATCGCTTATGCTACAGCGCTATTTTCTGGAACTGCTTTACAAAGGAACGCATTACAACGGCTTCCAGGTGCAGCAAAATGCGCCGGATACCATTCAGCAGGAAGTAGAAAAAGCCTTTGCCATACTCCACAAACAGCCGGTTACCATGACAGGCTCTTCCAGGACCGATACCGGTGTACATGCCCTGCAAAACTTTTTTCATTTTGATTTTGAAGGGGCCATTGAAAATACATTCATGTATAAAATGAATGCCATTTTACCCAGGGATATCGTTGTGAAAAATATTTATGCAGTGCCACCCGGAGCACATTGCAGGTTTGATGCGCTGAGCCGCAGTTACAGCTACCATCTTTACCGCGATAAAAATCCCTTCCTGGCAGAAGGTGCTTATTATTTCCCTTATGCACTTGATATGCAGCAGATGCAGGAAGCCGCCGCTATTTTGCTTAGCTATACAGATTTCACTTCCTTCAGCAAGCGCAACACGCAGGTAAAAACGTTTTTATGCAGTATTGAGGAAAGTAACTGGTCAACAACCGGCGAACAGCTTATTTACCGTGTAAAAGCCAACCGCTTTCTGCGGGGAATGGTGCGTGGATTAACCGGTACCATGCTGCAGGTAGGCAGGGGTAAAATCAGCATCGGCCAGTTCAAAAATATCATTGAAGCAAAAGACTGCCGCCTCGCAGATTTTTCGGTACCGGGCCATGGCCTGTTTCTTACCAAAGTGGCTTACCCGCCCACCCTGCTGCAACAGCCCCTGGCCATGCGGTAACGGCATGGTTTTAGCCTCCGTGTAAGAAATGACACCTCATGAAACTACTAACAATAAGCTTGCTCTGCGTTGCCCTGGCCTGCTGCAACAAAAAGGACAGTACAACTGCAGCCGATGCCACTGTTCAACATCGTGTACTGACGCAAAACCTGCAATATCCATGGGAAATACTATGGGGCCCGGATAATAAAATCTGGATAACAGAACGCAGTGGAAAAATAAGCCGTGTAGATACAGCCAGCGGTATAGTGACTCCTTTACTTACCATAACTGATGTAAAAGCATCAGGCGAAGGTGGCTTACTGGGCATGGTGCTGCACCCTGATTTTGCCGTATCGCCTTTTGTATATGTAGCGTATAACTATGAACAGGCGGGTACTTACAAAGAAAAAATAGTGAGGTACACGTTCAGCGGCAACAGCCTTGGCAACCCTGTTGTTTTGCTAGATAATATTGCTGCATCCTCCATTCATAATGGTTGCCGTTTGCTGATTAGCCCGGACCGGAAATTGTTTATCAGTACCGGCGATGCCTCCAATCAATCATTGCCACAGAATGCCGCAGCAGTAAATGGAAAAATATTACGTTTAAACCCCGACGGTAGCATCCCTTCGGACAACCCGGTACCCGGCAGCCCGGTATGGAGCAGGGGCCACCGCAATCCGCAGGGACTGGTATTTGCCAACAATATGCTCTACAGCAGCGAGCATGGGCCCGATATAGAAGACGAGATTAATATCATTGAGAAAGGGCGCAATTATGGCTGGCCCGATGTAAAAGGGCCCTGTAATGAAAGCGGTGAAACAGCCTTCTGCAATACCAATAATGTAAAAGAACCCATCAAGTCGTGGACACCTACGCTGGCCGTAAGCGGCATAGATTTTTACAATGCCGGGTTGATTCCGCAATGGAAGAATTCTTTACTGGTAGCCACACTTAAAAACAGCCGCCTGCTGCAATTAAAGCTGAACGACGCGCATACCCTGGTAACAGCCAGCAATGAAATATTGGGCAATGATTATGGAAGGCTGAGGGATGTTTGTATTTCTCCTGATGGCAAAGTATATGTCTGCACCAGTAATGGATCCAATGACCAGATTATAGTTATTTCGAAGAAATAGGAACCGGCAACAATAAACCTTAAAAAAAAGCTGCCGGTAGTTCCGGCAGCTTTGCATTTATTATTTCAATAGTAGTATTTACTCTTTTATTGCTGCAATACCAGGCAATACTTTTCCCTCAAAATATTCAAGTAAGGCACCACCGCCGGTAGATACGTAACTTACTTTTTCAGCAAAGCCAAATTGGTTTACCGCGGCTACAGAATCACCGCCACCTACCAGCGAAAAGGCACCGGACTGCGTAGCCTCTGCCACGGCAGTAGCAATGGTCTTTGTACCATGCTGAAATTTGGCCATTTCAAAAACGCCCATGGGTCCGTTCCATAAAATGGTTTTAGACTTTTTGATGACATTGGAAAATTGGTCGCAGGCCGAGGGGCCAATGTCCAGTCCCAGCCAGCCATCTGGTATATTGTTGCTGGGCGCGGTAGATGTTTGAGCATCTGCAGCAAATTTATCTGCAATAATAGAATCTGATGGCAGGTGAATGCACACGCCTTTGTCGCTTGCCTTTTTCAGCAGATCCAGCGCGGTTTGCAAACGGTCTTCCTCGCAGAGTGAATTACCAATTTTGCCGCCCTGCGCTTTCATGAAGGTATATGCCATACCCCCGCCGATAATGATATCGGTAGCCCTTTCCAGCAGGTTTTCTATAATAAGAATTTTATCAGACACTTTTGCGCCACCGATAATGGCTACAAAAGGTTTTTGCGTTTCGTGCATTACCTTTTCTGCGCTGGCCACTTCAGCGTTCATCAACAGGCCAAACATTTTTTTGTCGGCCGGAAAGAACTGGGCAATGACTGCCGTAGAAGCGTGGGCGCGGTGCGCGGTACCAAATGCGTCGTTTACATATACATCTCCCAGCTTGCTGAGTTTTTCGGCAAATGCTGCGTCGCCCTTCTCTTCTTCTTTGTAAAAACGCAGGTTTTCCAGCAACAGTACTTCGCCGCCCCGTAACATATTGGCGGTAAGGTAAGCCTGCTCGCCGATGCAGTCGTTGGCAAACAATACGGTGGCGCCATCCAGCAATTCACTTAAATGTTTTACCAGGTGTTGTAAAGAAGATTTGTCTTCGGGGCCATCTTTGGGTCTGCCCAGGTGACTCATCAGGATGGCGGAGCCGCCGTCTTTCAATATTTTTTTGATGGTAGGGAGGGTGGCCCTCATCCGGTTATCGTCTGTAATGGCGAAAGTTTGTTTGTCCAGCGGCACGTTGAAGTCTACGCGCACCAGGGCTTTCTGACCGGCGAAATTGTAGTCGGAGAATTTGCTCATACATTCAATACCCTTTTAAAAGGGTGTAATTTAAAAGGTCATAAAATGAACAAAGCCTCCTGCTGGCGCAGGAAGCTTTGCATTAAGGCGTTGAATAAAGAACTATTGTACAGGAGTGCGACGCAAGGATGCTGAAAAGCGTTCCAATGTTCGTCTCACAATACTTACTTACTGATTAAACCGGCAAAAAAATGAACGGTGCGTACCAGCTGGCTTACATAGCTCATTTCATTATCGTACCAGGAAACTGTTTTCACCAGTTGTGTATCTCCCACGGTTAATACTTTTGTCTGTGTGGCATCGAACAAGGAACC